ACTCAAAATTCAATGCAAGTGGTGATCATCAAGTGTATATGTTCAGAGGTCTAGTGTGGAGGATAACATAAGGTATTGAGGCAATTGGATGAAAAACACAATATTTATGATTAAAATAAAAGTAATTCGGTCACTTTTGACCCGAAACGCAAGAGAAGGGTTAAAGCAATAGCTCAATTCAGGATGTGAGCTATTACAAAATCAATTGTAATCATCATGTTGTACTTGTCTACAGTTAGATTGACTTATTATTAAGCTAGCTTTCATTTTCACCTAAGATAATGTTGTTCCTAGCTGTCACAAAGACGGGGCTGGGAGCTCCCGCTGCTCCTGTTTGTGTCAGGACTCCCCCTGAGACAGCAAGGACATTGGTTGAGGGCAAAAGCAGAGCAGTGAGTACGATAAAGACATAAACCAAGAGACCATGATGGGATGTCAGATAAGCATCACAACAGGATTGTGGTGCAGTGAACTAGAAATGTGGCAATTTGACGCAGTGTGTCCCTGCACAGCGCCCTGGGGTGTGTCGGCTGCAGTGTTCAGGGAACAAGAACGAGGGGCAGTTTTCAGAGAAGTTTGGAAGGGCCGCAGAGGTGGGAAGTAACTAAGTACATTTACTCGAGTACTGTACTTAAGTATGATTTTGAGAAACTTGTGCTTTACTTGAGTATTTCAATTGTATGCTACTTTGTACTTATACTCCACTACATTTATTTTGTACCTTTAGTTACTTTACATATTTGGATTAATGATGTGAAATATAATCAACACTTAAATGTTCTTTAGTTATACCTGGAGTAAATTCACAATCTACCCTGCAGTATACAAAGTCATGCAGCTTTGATAACACTTAAATGCATCAATAATTATAATCAAAACGTAATCATATTATTCTGAAATGGACCAATCTGAAGAATAAATACTTTTACTTTTGTTTTTTTAAGTATATTTTGATGCTAATACTTTTCTACTTTTACTTGAGTAACCTTTTGAATGCAGGACATTTACTTGTAACAGAGTATTCCTACACTCTGGTTCTTCTATTTTTACTCAAGTACAAGATCGGAGTACTTCTTCCAACTCTGAAGGGTTGTAATGTAATGGTACCTTTCCTTGAATAACCTTTAATTCCATTCAATGTTCATACATAGATAAGATGGCTCATCTGAATGCTATTGATTGACTAGACTTTTACTGAAGATAATTCAGTACAAGAGCAAATAAAGAATTATATGAAATGCAGATTCTTCCATGCAACAGACCTAAACTAATGCCTGTAATCTTCTAGCCTGATTTGTAAGAGTTGTGTGTTTATTTCTTTAAATGTAAGCATATCAGCAGACAAACTGTGTATACTGCAGTGTAGTGTTATGCAAATCTGCTTTCTTCGCCCCCAATAACCCTTTTCTTCCTCTTTCTGATTATCTCTCTACCCATTTTCCTCCGTGCAGCTAGGGCTGATAATAAGCAGCAGTCACACGATGCGGTCTGATCTCCATCTGGATTCAGACGCCACAGTAGAAGGAAGAGGAAGAGAAGGAGGAGAGGAATGCGAACTAAGAGAGGCAGAGGAAATTTGGGTCACGCTTGAAGCCATAATAATGGTATAATGCACCAGCACAATCTCTGCTGCAGCACCGAATAAATCATAGATGCATCACCCTTCACAGATAATAAATAATGGCTCCTCTCAACACTCCAAGCTATTGCATAATATAAATCTGAAACCAAGTTAGATAAATGAATCCGACATATGACATTGAAAATCCCAAACCCCACTCAGGCACACAATTCTCACCTCTCAAACTCCAGCCAATGACATTTCACAACTACCTCCAAGGCACCCAAACAAAGATTGATCAGGGCAAGAGGTATCACGCAGGAGATTATGGCACCAAGTTCCCTGACTTTCCATTACTGGCCTCCTAATCCGTTTATAGGGATACGCTCTTAATGGGCATGAGGAGGGAGGACTGTGTGTGTGTTGAGTGTGTGAGGGAGAGGTCATCCATCATGGACGAACATCTGAGCAGGAGAGGGGACAGCAGGGAAGGTTAATGTCAGCTCGGATGTGACTGAAACTCACATCTATTCACATCCAAATCTCCGGTGGCAACGCCAAGCGATTTAGCTACTTTCTTCTTCTGCTGCTGTCAACGACATCTGTGATACATATGCCAGCGGAGCACAGGCCAGACCCCCGACACTCTGCACAACTTCATCAGGCTGAAAAAACCCTTTACCCCCTAAAACATGGCAAGTCCCACCATTCATTACCTGAGACAGTTCCCCCTTCCAATGCAACTTCATAACCTGAACATACTAACATTATTTGAAGGTAGAATCCATGATATCATAATGGTTAATTAAAAAATGTGCCACAGCAAAAAGCTTTATAGCTATGTTAGTTTGCTTTAGAAAAAAAAGCAGAACACAAGTTTGGTAGACTTGTAGGATGGTCAGAAGTTGTTGAAATACGTACAACATTTCCCATCTGACAACGCTGCTCTACTGTAGGTATTCTCTGGGCATGCTCAAAACTGACAGCCCCCAAAACCACTCACTGTATTTCCTGGATATGTTATGTCAGACCACCTACATAAGACCAGCTGTTAAATAAAGCTCTTCTGACCTTAGGTGTCATGTGGGTATATTAATTCACCCATTTATTAATTATATGTTATAAATGTGATAACACCACTGTCTTTCGTATCCCCTAAACCTCCAGGGTGTACACAGTTTAATACTGGCAACTTCTAATTGTGGGAAATACGAAAACGTCGGGAGGGGGGGGGGGGGGGGGGGGGGGGGGGCGCTGGACCCGTCCAATTCCAGTTTTGGAAAGTCTGCCGTGGTTCCATTCCATTCCATAGAGCTGTTTGACGTTCAGCGTAACCTTGTCGCACTGCCACTCCAACATCCAATCACAGGGCTTGATGACTAATCACGGGGTTTGTAAAGCAAGGCGGATGTTGTAGTCCCAAACGATAGCTGGGGATTCTGGGTAGTGTAGTGTCTAAACTCCGAAAAAACTATTTGTTTCTCTGGGATCGAAGGTTAAAAACACAAAAGCATTGTACACAATTTAAACTAATCAATATTGTGTAATTAACAAGGATAAACTGATGTTTTTTAGTGGATGAGTAATGCAGATATCACTGTGTAATCATTTGACAGTGAGGGGAATATATCCGGTTTTATGATGAAAACTTCGAGACCGGAAAAACTGTTTTCACCCACACTAACTTTACATGGAAGCTACATACACGTTATCCTGGCGAGACCTCAAATCATCTTCGTAATATCTATCAAACTATAGATCCTACACATCGACTGGACGTGGATTCTAAGAGTACAATATACACTTCTCGCCAGAAATCGAATCAAAAAGCAATTTAATGGCCAAACTATTCCACAATTTAGGATTTTCCAGAGAGGGTTATTTGTGAATAAATGTCCCTCCGGAGCGTTTGCAATGAACGGGCCGATCGCATGTTGTTTCTTACACGACCACTAGAGCACCTCTAGTGGTCGTGTAAGAAACAACATACACTTTAAAACGTGTCTCTGGGTCGTAATGAGGGCATGAACAATCAGCCTATATGGTCGTTTTTTGTAGGACGACAGGCTGGTTATGTCAGACCACCTACACTACTTAGTGAAATAACAAGTGGAATCTACCCCATGGCTCTGTGTATTTCCTGGGAATGCTCTACAGAGACAGTGCCTCTGAACTGCTCATTGGCTCGCTGTATCTGTTGAAAAGCCCTCATACTGTCAGCCCCCATTTAACAACTTGTTGTTTATCTTTTGGCAGAAATACCAAGATCTGCAATGCCCTGCCAACCGTGGCATTTCTGGGAATGCAAAGCAATTTCATCCCCCATGAACTGCAAATTTATACTAATGTATGTGTTGTGGAATTATCTGATTTACGAGGCCTTCTTTGGCAGGTCCTCCAAACTCCTGTGTGTCATCGCCCTGTCCTTTGAGGCTCTTGTTTGGAGCTACAAATTAGCTGACATCCCTCTACTTACACCCATAATAAAATATTGATTCGTATTTAACTGATGGGCTCACTGACACACAAAGATTTCATCCCAAAGGAGCCATTTTGAACAGATTAGAACTTGCTCTGAAATATTTTTACTGTAGCTTTTACAAATGCAGCCTGTTGCATATTTAATCTGACAAACTCGTCCTCTCGTCCTGGTGGCTTGTGAAAAGAAGGTCATCTCCCTGTTCAGGATAAGGGGGTCTGACTGAAAGACTAAAACGAGAGTTATGAGCACTTCAGAAAGATTTATCCCAATTTTTATATCTGCAATTTCTGGGGATTGGGAGGATGTCTTTTTGGACACATTTGTATAAAATGCTTAACTATTTTCACAGTAAACATGCAGACTCACAACACCTGACTTCCGCTCTATCACCTGTCTACCTCCACTGGTGCACAGTATACAGAGAAGTCGTGACATATTCCAGAGCTTCACATAAATATGAAAATCTGAGGGGGGGAAAACATTCTATGACAGATCTCTCTGTGTAACTGAACAGCGTGTCTTTAAACCAGAAACACGGCCTTTTGAACACCAGACAATTTTAGCTGCATTTTCGTGAGGTAAAATAAACAAATGCGTGCTATTTATTTGTTTACTCCCTTGTGGTTATTAGAACACCTACACCGACACGGAGCTAGATACAAATGTGCCGCTTTCAGCAATCAAACAGAACCTCAGCCAAAGGCATTAGCTGCTCCTAATTATTATAAACTGCAAACACATGTAACCGTGTTCCACTTAACCCCACGATGACTCATATTCAAATAAACACAATCTTTTGGTTGGTCTGTATATTTGCTAGTAGAATAATCCTCTCTTCATTTTCAATTAACAAAAGAAAAGAAACAACCTACCTGAGTGAGCGATAGGGAGTACAGGAATGTCGTGAGTCACACTTTTTTGCAGCTTACACTGAGATACAAGATGGCTGATGGTGTGTGTTGTGGCTCGGTAGCTCCCGATTCAAACCACCGGCCTCGACTAAAACCTACAATATATAAGACTGTTGACGGCCTGGTTATTGTAGAGGATGAGTTACTCAACTTCCTGGCGGTTAAAATTAAAACTATGACCCAGGACGAGCTAGTCCTTGTAGCCTCTAACACCTTCGATTCCGAATGGATCGAGACTTCTAAAAAGACGTTGTTTGAACTCTGTCCTGAAACCAAGCAGCGGTGTGTGGCCTTTAAAGGCAACCAGAAGGATGCAAACAATATTAAAAGCTGCCTAAAAGTGCTAAATGAATGCGGTGAAAACATCCCCCGTTTTGTCTCCCACTACCTGGATGAGCTGCCGCCTGTTACGTTTAACAACCTGGATGTGTCCAACCTGCTGAGCAAGATGGAGCGACTGCACAGCGAGGTTTGCGCATTAAGACACGTAGTGGAAGTTCAGGCAGATATCGGTGAGGACCTGCGTGCTGTGGCTGCGACCATGGACAGCAGAGTTGCTGCCGTAGAACGCCAGTTGGAGCCGAGTCATGGTGTAGGACTGGCTGTAGGCCTACCAAGTGACGCTGAAACTACCTGTCGGAGCGCTCAGGGTGATGGCCAGGATGGTGCGGTGTTGGTGAAGGATGCGAGCCCCCCCGGCTCTTCTACTGATGTACATCCCAACTGTGTTGACCCGCTCGCTGCGTCAGGGACCGTGAGTGCCTGTGTGAGCCCTGGAGGAACTGCGGTAAATTCGCAGGTATGGTGTCAAGTTGTGAAACAGGGCCGAGGTCGGAGGAATAGGGCCGAGGCCCGGGCCAGTCTGCCTTATCTAAACAGCTTGTTGGGAAACCTGAACGGAGGATGCCTAATGTTAGAAATTAAAATCAATGTTTTGATAGCATAATGTACCTTAAACATACCGTCAGTTTAAATGCTGTTTTATACTGAAAAACCAGAAGTTCTTGTGCACAACCAGTTGTTAAGCTTTTATTCTGAAAATCCTTCATGACGACATCCGGGACTACTGCCCATTAGTATCATTAAAGTGGCTATTGACGCCGTTAACATGTATTACATATAAAGTTATGAAAGAGATAAGGAGGAGAAAAGGCATGTGGAAGTAAGCAATGAATGTAAAATGTCGAAATCCTCTGTTTAACGCGATATCGGACACAGACGAACGAGGGGGAAGTCCCTTACGTCACTACAGCTCACAGAGAGGAGGAGCGAACAGCGAGCAAGCGGGAAGGACTGCACGGCCAGTGTCAGTGTCACTACCCGATCTGCAGCTCTGCCCGATCTGCTGTGCGCATGTGCGAGATGGTCCGCCATATTGGACAACGCCGGACGGCAACCCAAGTAGGACAAAATTGACATCTAGACCGTCTGAACCATTCGCAAGTTTTTACATGTGACAAAATATGCATTGCGCATTCGCGAGTTTTTACATGTGACAAACGGTGATTTGCAGAGTTTTTACATGTGACAAACGGTGATTTGCATTGCATCTGACAGAATGAAGACTTTAGTGTTTTACAACAATTTGAGAGAATACATGTCTGAAGGTGAATTTCACACAGACCTCTCTAAAAATGAGCGAGATCAAATGCGCCGTGCGTCATCGAACTTTGCAATAAAAGGTAATTAATTCTCATTCTCCTGTTATTTTGTGTTGTGACTAACTGATCAGTTACTTAGCTCTGTCCCAAGTTTTGTATTGTATTTTTATTCTATTGTATTTGTATTGCCTTTCTAAATGAAATAATACTATACAAAAAAATATTTAATTCAATATTATAATATAATTTATTATTTTATTATTATTTATAATATAATAATTGTATTCCTGAATGACCCCTTTTTTATGTTTGTGTTTCTGTTTTTTTAATTAATCAAGCAAAATTAAAGGATAACAAACTCCAGTTATATAATTCCATATGAATAAATAATATTACATGCAAATGACATTTCCTGTAGGATGCTGAACTCTCTCCCACCTCTCCCCTCTGCCCCCATTGGACCTGGATCTTAACACCCCCCCCCCCCACCCACACACACACAATATATTTATTGCTGTGCCTTCTTATTTGCTCGTATTATGATGGGATATGGTTTAATTTAGTAAATGGTTGTGTGTGAAAAATGTATATCTCTAAAATGTGTGTTGGTGTATGATCACATTTGTATATGAAAATGTCTGAAGTTCATAAAAACATTCTCAGTGTTCAAGTCAATCACTGCAAAGGGTGACGATATGGCAGAAGGTGCTATATATATGGAATTGTCTGTATATATATATATATATACACACAATTCCAAAGCTGGTAAGGACTCTTTCAAATGTAGCAATACTAGTCTGAAGAAAAGGACTGATAACAGAGATTTGCTCTAATATGTATTCAGTATGATAGGCTCTGTCTTAACCCCAAATAATAAAACACAAAAGTCTTCATTCTGTCAGATGCAAAAGTCTTCATTCTGTAATAAAACACAAAAGCCTTCATTCTGTCAGATGCAAAAGCCTTCATTCTGTCAGATGCAATGCAAATCACCGTTTGTCACATGTAAAAACTCTGCAAATCACCGTTTGTCACATGTAAAAACTCGCGAATGCGCAATGCATATTTTGTCACATGTAAAAACTTGCGAATGGTTCAGACAGTCTAGATGTCAATTTTGTCCTACTTGGGTTGCCGTCCGGCGTTGTCCAATATGGCGGACCATCTCGCACATGCGCACAGCAGATCGGGCAGAGCTGCAGATCGGATAGTGACAGTGGGAGAGGAAGCTGCAGACTTTCTCTCCCGTCGAACCATATCCTGTTTGTGACTTTACCGCGCATTTTTTATTAATCAAAGTACCAATTTTGAACCTCCAGAGACTCCATTTAGTCTCCTTTTTAAGCTTCTCTTTCCTGGACGCTGAGAATAAGAACACAGTTAACAATTGGAATGACCCCTGACGTGATTCTCGTTGCACCGGGAGAGATTATACACGCGGCTGTTGTCCGGAGCCGCTGGCAATCCCGTTCGACACACAGAGAGCTCAAACCACGGTAAGGAGAAACCTGTTACATCAAAATTCTTCAATAGTTTATGCAGGACAATCTTAGGACTGTGTGTTGGACGGCTACTTCCGGTTCCTGAAAATAGCTGGGAAATTAATGTTAAAACAACCACATTTATAACAATAAGAATTCCATAACACGTGGCGTTGCATTTTCACAAGCAGGGTGAGTTCAAATTTCTTCTTTTTCTTACATTTAACCCTGCATGCTATTCGTTTGTCTGTTATTACATGTCGGCAGAAGGCTAATTGCTCCAAGAAGTGTTTTTTGTTACGTTTTAAGTTAACGTGAATGGTTTGAGGCTATTTAGCAGTCGGGATTGCTTGAGACAAAGAACACAATCACAGTGGAAGCTGAGAATATTGGAGTGAGTCTGTGTTTTTCTTATTAAAAAAAGTCCTATTTGAGGAAAAGGCCTGAAAAGTTTGAAGCTTCTGTTTTCAAACAGACATTGCGTCTGGTTTACGACGAGAAGTGCGACATTCGTGCGTTAGATAGACGATATTCTTCTGATTGTGTTTGATTAGCGTCTTGCTTTGTCCCATGATAGCGTGTTTAAACAGGAGATAACCATACTGGCTCTTAAAGTCAAAACATTACGTACACAGGTTGAGGGCTTTGACGTAAGGGTATGAGGCCCATTTATAATTGTAAATTACATAGAAGTGTTATTTTAAACTGCAGTGTTGTTTTGAGTTGAATTTTCTAGAATTAAAAGATCACCCTCATTATTTCAACTCCGCTCTGAGAGCCACGAGGTGTTTTCAAATCCCTTTGTTCTTCAGGTCAAAGGTTGGAAAATCAGTTGCCGTCTTGTCTTCGTGTTTACAATGAGCAATGGCAGTCGCCATTTCGTGAAATGCTAATTTGAAAGTACTCAGTCCTACTCACACGAGGCTAGTCACTCCATCTTGAGAAGGATACATCATATTTCTTTGCAGAGTTGGAACTATAAAATAGACAGGTTATTTTACCGTGGGAAGTTTGGTATTTGTAGGGATCTGATTTTAGAAGTTTTTTTTGAAATATTCCAGTTTGAAATGTGTTTTGGCGTTTATGTGCTGTGTTCTTTTACCATAGTGTAGTGTTCTTACCTAGTGTAATTCTCTTTCCATTTTTAAGAAGAAAAATAAGCTTTTCTTGTTAAATAGAGGTTAGTTTTGCAACAGTAATCCCTAGTGGATTAAGCTGGAAATTACAATAGCGCACTCTGCTGGAAGTACAGAATTATTACATAGAGGTAACACTCAATAGAAGTTTAATTTGAAGTGTTATAAATAAACTAGGGCCGGGACTCGATTAAAAAAATTAATCTAATTAATTAGAGGCTTTGTAATTAATTAATCGAAATTAATCGCATTTTTAATCACATATAAATATTTGACCTAAGAACAGTGAGAAGCAATTTTTTTCACATGGATTTTAGTATACCATTAGGCGCATTCACACCGCAGTACTTTTCCCACAAAGGTTCATGAGAATTTAGTTCATGAGAACTCTTTGAACCTGGGGGTGGATTAGGCAAATGAAGCCGCTGACGTCACTTCTTCTTCTTCTGCTTTGGGTTTACTGGCAGGCCACAAACCACTTCACGGCGTATACTGCCGCCCAAAGTCCCCGGCCGGAAGTCCCCGGAGTTGGGGACTGGCTTCAGTAGAAGCTGCTGGGAGTCCCAGCAGCCTTCCGAGTAAATCGCCAGAATGCCGACACCTCCTCATCTCCACCGCTCCCATGTTTTATTTTGTGTTGCCATAAGTTAGTCTCTCTGCGTTTCTGCGCTGGGCTAATGCTAATAATGCTAATGCGAGGATAATAAAATGGCGGCTTCACAAAACTTTTTGGGAGTTTTACGGGGCGTGGTTTGCAATCCGCCCAGCCAATCAGAAATATAGCTCTTTTCTCACAAGAGAGCCGTACGAAAGTCCCTGCTCTCTAGCAGCTCTCTGCTCTCTAGCAGGGACTTTCGTGGGGGTAAAAAGGTTCTCATGAACTAATTTTAGTACCGGCTCTTTTTGGTGTGAACGCGATAAAAGAGGCTAACGTCCACGCTAGCTTCCACGCTAGCTGCTATATGTTTTGCATTGAGGTGATACTTGAGGCTTGTTGTGCTGCGGTGATATGCGAATTTCTTTTTGCATAATTTGCACACAACCGTGCTCTTATCGACGCTTCCATCCGTCCGTTTTTTAAAACAACATTTCCCACTGTTGTTCACTGTGGTTTGTTGTTGTCTGAAGTCATGAACGTTAGTTGGTGCTCCAGTATAATCGGTACGCCTGAAACTCATCCAGTGAGAAACGTTCCGCGGTGTAAAAATAAGTGCGATTAAAATGCGTTAATTTTTTTAACGCGTTAATTTTTGTGTAATTAATTAATCTTAATTAACGCGTTAAAGTCCCGGCCCTAAAATAAACACATGCTTGATCGCCAGGATAGAATTGCAAGTGGTTTCTAATTATAAGATAGGACACTTTAAACAATACTTTTTCAAATAAGCAAACAAATGTATTGAAGCTAACACAAGTTAGGACATTTACATAATTTCATACACTTTGGTATGCACTGTACACAGTAGATTTAGATTTTCACCAGATTTCTAATTTTCATATTTTAAAGTCAAAACCATACACTGTACAATTTTTAATTTAGAATTTCAGATTTTAAAATTTGCATAATTTTTTATCTTTTAA